ACTCCTCTTCTCAGAACACTCAAGGTTTTCACACCTCATTCAGATTAAAAACCAAAGTCCTTACTAGGTTCTACAAGTCTCTATCTACATGATCTGGGCCCTCTGCTCTCTGGTTTCAACTCCTGCTACGCTCTCCTTCACTAAATTTACTCCTGCCACACTCACCTCCTTACTGTACCCAGAGGAGAAGATGCAGGGACATTTACCTCTCAAGGCCTTTGTTCCTGCTTACTCCTCTGTTTGGAGTGTTCTAACCCTACCCAAATCATAATTAGATAGCTCCTTCCTAGAGATCATTTTCCAAAAGTCACCCTTTAGTGAGGTCTTCCTTAGTCACTCTTAACTAAAATTTCAAGCCTCCCCCCACCACCTGACATTTCATAGCCCAGGTTTATTTTTTTCTCCATAACACTTATCTCCTAATGTAGTTATAGGTGCTGTCTGTTTATTATCTATCTTTCAAACTAGATCTTCCCAAGAGCAGGGACTTTTGTCTGTTTTGTTTCTTACTATAGCACATGGTAGGAGCCCTGTAAATATTTACTGAATGAATGAAAAGGGAATGTAAATGTCTATGTTGTCTTTGGCTTTATACCAGGTGCCCTACCTAAGAGAGATCTATAAATACATACATGTATGCAAGTTCTGGAACATGTAAATGACTTGAGGACTTTTTACATGAGAAAAAAGGGTTGATATAAAATGATTACTATAAATATATACAGACCGAACTTCAGCTGTGGCAAGAGTGGCAAGAACAATGAACTAAGTCAGCAGATCTAAGTTTTACACCCTTATTAGCCACTTGACATTGCATAAGTCACCTGACCTCTCTGACCCTCAATTCACACAATTATTACCACCCCCCAAAATTTCTTAAAGATAATGCCCCTCCCTCACAGAGATATTATAAGGTCCAAGTTAAATAATACATGTGGAATTAAGGTAAAACCTATAAAATACTACATGAATGTGCATTATTATAGTTATTATATTCTATGAGCATGAGAGATATGTTAATATTTCTGAGAGGTAAATTAATCATGAAAAGGGATGCGAACGCATTTCTGCTAAAAATTCAGTCAGAAAAACAAATGTAATCATCTTTTCTAACATACAAATTAAAACAGAAAATATGCATGTAGGTACATTATGTATGTGTTTGAAATGCAAGTTTAAATTCCCAACACAAATTCTCACCACACTTTTCTTTAAAAAAAAAAAAGTATTTATATTGCAACTTAATAACATCATTATTGAAAAAATAGTCACTCCAAAAGTGTACTTTTTGGGTTTTATTAAAAACAAAAAGGGACAACTCACAAATAGGATCCTTAGTTTTTAGCTACCAGATAAATTATTAAAGTAAACTACACATAGGGTTAGATTCTCTTATGTGAACAAATTGCCTTTATCATTATTCCAATTTGACAGGACCAACCCAGATAGGAAACTCCATTATTTGCAAAACAAAAAAGCCATCCTAACAGCCACATAATAAGCAAACTGCATTTGATTTAAAAGGTCATCTGAATCAACTTAGTGACTTAGCAACAGTGTTTGGAGTTGCTGAGAAACCTAAGATGCACATGGACTTGAATTTCTTGGTCCTAGACACTTGAAAGCTAAACCAGTCACTGGGAAATTTATGAAAACAAAACAAGACAAAACAAAACAAACATAATAATGGCTTTCATAAGAGAATGCAGATGCCTGGATAAAAACTGCAAGCATCACTTAATTGCTGGCAACAACTAATCTGCCTGAGAAATCATGTTAAATTAACCAGTTTCTCAGGAGTTCCCTTTTGAATTTATATTAAAATAACTGAAAATGACCATTGGTAAGATAATTTCTTACCAGTTGGGGTTGGGGAAAAAAATTAATCCTTTCAACAAAATCACTGTGAAATAAAAAAAATTGTTAATGGAACTATTAACAGCTACTATTTATTAAGTCCTCATTCATTCAACAAATGTTTACTAAGTGCCTATTATATACCAGGCACTGGTTGGGTACAGTGACTTCAGCAGTGAACAGACAAAATTTCTGTCCCCATAGCACTCACTTCCATAATAGTCTGTCTACTCCCTGAAGTATACCCTGGTAGGTAGCCATTATTTCTAACGTCTATAAATTGGCCATCTGCCTGAGGCCATGCAGCTAACTCAGTGAAGAAGCAAAACAGCACCCAGATCTCCCTGACTTCAAAGCCCAAGCTCTCAACTGGCAAATCTCCAATCCAATCATTACAGGTTGAACTTTCCAATCGGAAAAGCATTGATGCTTGGATTTGTGTGAGGCAACCTGAGAGAAGCATGAACATAAAGATATTTTCACATGGTTCCTTGGACATTTTCTTACTCATCAACCAGAAATATTTTCTAGCTGGGAGCCACTAAGTACGCAGAACAGACACACCTGAGGCGTCTCCTATACTTTGGGAATGTGCTTTCTTCAGAAAAGCAGGAGAATTTTGAATTTTTAAATAACTTAAAATTTTTTGCATCGGATTTTTCACACCTAGCAGCATATGGAAAACGATTTCTTTTTAAAAGTGGACTTGCCACTGCAGAAAGATAAGCCAGCATCTTCACACCGTCCTGCCTTTAAACTTTCACAAGCCTCTGAAGCTGTCCTGAGCTGTGTTTCATTCCTCATCCTTAAGAATACACTCATTTATCAGACATCCATTATGTGCCAGTCACTGTAGCAGGTGCTAAAGGCACAGAGATGATTAAGCCAGTCTCTGTCATGAAGAAGTTAACAATCTCATAGGGCAGACTGAAACACGGATAATCTCCACACAGAGTGTGAGTGATAGTCACAGGCCCTAGCGGAGCTAAGGGGCTAGGGAAACCTAACCTCCCCGGAAGAGTCAGGGAAGGTTTCTTGGAGGATGCCTGAGTTATAAAAAAAGGACAGAAAGAGGAAGGGAAAGGACATTCGGGGACAAATAAACAGTTCCCTGTGGCTTCAACACAAAGTGCAAGGTAGACAGTGTCCTTCCATTTATTCATTCAACAAATATTTTTTGAGCATATATAGTTGCCAGTTCTGGGCCAAGTGCTTCACTGGGTTAATTCTTTTAAGCATTGATGAGGTGAGTGGTATTATTATTCTCATTTCACAGAAGAGAAATCTGAGGATTAAAGAGCTTGAAAAATTGTATTTAAGTCAGCTCATTCTACCTTTACACAGCTTTGTTAGAAAGTCCTGTCTTACACAGAACTAAAAGTTTTTAACACTCAGCTATCATTTTCACCTATAGGCTTCAGTTCTATTCCGAAATTTTTCTCACAAAAATCTGTATCCCTCCCAGTGATGATGATAATGATGATGACTGTTATTTTGATGGACTGAGGAAAATAATATAAGAGGACAAATGGATAACTAAAATACTTATCTGTAATTGTTGAATCCAATAAAAAAGGACTATGTATTTGACCCAAACTCATGTTGAAACCTTCATATTAGGATTTAAAGACTCTACTGAACTGCAGCTTTATAAGGTCAAAGCAAGGAAGGATGAGCTTAAAGTGTCAGCCTGCTAGAGGAATCTATATAAATACTACACGGAGATGAGCTCCTACAGAAAAACAAGAAATTAGCAAAATACTTCTCCTCTGAGCAACAAAGATGAGCTTGGAGACCCAAAGTTTGCATTTGTCTTTTTTAGTCCTCTCAGTCCTTTCATGTTTCCCTGCTTTCAAACACCGTAGTTTGGCACAGTTTCCGGAAATACCCTAAATAGATTTATTTGTTCAACTGTCACATTTATACGCCTAAACTGAAGAGTGTACTTTTGAAGAATCCTATTGAGAACAAAGAACACAATTTAAGGAAATTAAACAAAAAGAATCTTAGTTTTCCAATAAAGTGTTTCACCTTTTATTTTGGATAGGTACCCTGCCGGGTGAGAAAATAGCATGAACCCAATAAAATAGATTGCAAAGTGGGCAGTGCTACCCGCCTAAGCCCAGAGGGTGACCCTCATTCAGAACAGCACGTCTCACTCCTAAAAGCTGTGGAGCACATCACGAAGGCCAAATTTGACTCTTGTGTAGAAGAGCTTGTAAAAGAATGACATTTACAATTTAAACAATAGCTCCAGGTTAAGAGGTATGTATGGGTATCTCTCTACTATTTCCAAATAGATTTGGAGAAAGTTTTTGATTCACTGGTTGCTGTTCTGAATAGCTGACAACCTATAAGCCCAAACATGGACATTTTAAGGTCACAATCAGATCCACACAGTCTACTCGATTAACTCCGATATGAACCAATACCAAATATGTCACTAAAGGAGCAGTGTAATGTAGAAGAACAAACACGAGCTTTGTAGTCATCAGGCAAGGCTGAAATCTGGCTTTATCACTTAGTAACGAAAACAAAGCTGGATAAACTTGGGCAAGTGACTGAACATGGTCACTTTCCTCCTCAGTGAAAAGAAACTACAACCACTACTTCACAGGGCTGTTGTGAGGATTCAATTTTAGGTAGTTTACTTAAAGTGCCTCATATAGTGAGTGCCTATAACAGAATGCACTGGGCACTTTAAAAGTGTTTGTTGATTAAATACTGAAATTTTTTTATTATCATTTAATAACAACAGTAACAATAGTAAGAGAAATTGAGAACAACAGATGATGCTTCATTTTGTGCAGGGGAGCTTCTTTTAAATATTTTAATTTTGTTGCTGTGTTGTTTTTAAGCCTTTAAAAAGCACATAGGTGAAGAATATAAAATCGTATCTCAGCAGCCTCTGTCTTTCAAGGAGTAGGAAAACGTGATGGATATCACTGTTGTATTCTATATTGTTTAACTGTCCAACATTTCCCTGGTTCTATTTTCTCAGCTATTCACAAATGTCTCCATCAATCAGTTTTTCTTTGAACCAGCAAAAACTTACCTGAAAACGATGTTCGTGTGGGAACTGATGTTTTTGCCTCCATACATAGCAGTGATCCAGGAAGGCCTCGGTCTCACGCCCCACTGTCTAAAACACTCATCAGAAAACACCTGCAAGTCCCACGAGTTAGGTTCAAACATGTCATTGATACCATTCGTACAGAAGGGCATGACCATTTCTGTGCAGGCCTGGAAAAGCAAACCAGAAAAACCCAGTGAAAACATGAAGCACAAAGAGGTTAAACCAATTGTTCAAGGTCATACAGCGAGTGAGCAGCAAAGCCAGGGTTTGAACTCAGGCAGTCTGGCTTCAGGGCCCCCGCTCTTTATCTCTCTGCTACCACCTCTCACTATTCCTGCAAAGGCTCAGCTGAAAAGTCACAGAAGTTAGGGCTAGATATTCCTTCTTTGTAAACTGCTTTCTTTCACATCTATTTTCATATTTAATCCTCAAAACAACTCTGGAGGGAAAGTATTATTATTATTATTACTATTCTCACTGTACAGATGAATAAACAGAGGCTCAGAAAGAGTCAAGTTAGACTCCCCTTCTGTTATGTGTTCATAAAATGCTTCCTTAATAGGACTTATCAATATCTATTGTAATATTAGTTTAGTTACCCTTTCTTTTTCAACAAGCTACATTTCATGGTAAAATCATGTCTTATTTATCTTTGTATCTTTGGAGTCTAGAAGGGTGCCAGACATACGCTCAGTACTCAGAATATATTTGGTGATGATTAAATACATGAATGAATGAATGAGTGAATGAATGAATGAATGAATGAATGAATGAATGAATGAATGAAGAAATGTATCCAAGGTCTCAGAGTGTAAGGTTACAGAGCACTGACTGGGATCCAGTTTAGGTGACAAAATCTTGTGAGCTCAGTTACAGCACAACCATATCAGTGAAAAGTAAGTTCCACTTGGGGAAATTACACCCACTTACCTGATAGCTCCAACCCAGGGATCCCAGACTTTTAGTTGATGTCTCTGAAATATTCAGACATCTTGCCTGGCCTGAATAATTGTAATATACATTCAGAGCTTGGAAAATATTCTGCAGCAACTGTGAATCAGATACATTGGGATTTTTCAAATACTGGCATACTACCTGTCATTTTAGAGAGATAAAAAGAAGACACAGAGTATAAATACAAAATTATAGTGTAATAAAACAAAGGCATGACTTTGATTTGATCATAAAAATCATAAGCATTTAACCGCACTGCTTGACAGTTTCTATCTTGAGTATAATCTCCTTCACAAATGAATAAACCTCTTAAATTACTTCCCAAGCTACAGAAATAAACCAAAGCCATTTGCATGGCATGCAAAGTCCTCCCCACCCACCACTGGAGAGCTTCACCTCCTGCAGCCTTTGCTCTCTCCTGGCAAAACCATGTCCAGACACCTGGCTCTTTCCTTCCTCTTTGCCTTGGCTCGCCCAGAAACGCCCTTTCCCAGCGTCCCACTCTACTAATGCCTGGCAAACACCAACTCCTCTTCCACAAAACTCAGCCCAAGTATCATCTCCCCTATGAGCCATCACTGCCTATGCCCTCAAGTCAGGAAAACTAAATCACTCCCTTCTGTTTGCCTCCACTATGCCCGGGGCCTGTTTCTATCAGAGTCGCTGTGATGCTGTACAGCACTCATTTGATTCTAGAATCTCTCCTTCACCACTTAGTAAGCTTATCTAGCAATTAAGTGTTTGCTGAATGAATGACTACATTTTTATAAAAATACAATATTTATAAATTTCTTATGGAAAAACTATACCAAGCTCCAATGCCTGTGGTGTGATAAGCAGGTCAGGCAACCCCGCAGCGCCTAAATACTCTTAGCACTAGGCTATAATCAGTACCTGAAATTCTAGTACTAAAAATCATGGGCAATACTCGAAATTGGGAGTGAAGGGAGGGAACTGACGAGACAAGGGCATGGGGAACTTTTGGGGGTGTGTAAATAATCTATATCTTCATAGAGGTCTGAGTCAGACAACAAACAGTATACTTACAATTTGTAAATTTTACTGCATGTAAATTGAACCTCAAAAAAATAATAAATATTGAACTCTAGTTAATGATGTTAAAACTGAAGTATTTAGGAAGTGTACTGATATCTGCAACTTACTTTGAAGTGCATTTAACAATAAGAAGGATAGAGAGAAAGATGGATAGATGAATATGTGATAAATCAAATATAGCAAAATACTATTTATAGAATTTAGGTGGTAGGTTTATGGGAGTTCACTGTTCAATTTCAACTTTTCTGTGTTTGAAATTTTTCACAATAAAATATTGGGGGAAAATCACAGGCAATGGAATCATAGCTGAATAACAACAACCACACTAATTACTGAGCTCTGGGTTTACAACCATCACATCTTTTAATCCTTAAATAATCCTATCAGACAGATATATAACCATCCACTATTTTACATGAAGAAACTGATTCTTAGGTTAAATCAGCTTATTCAGTCAAGGTCACCTGCTAGGAAATCTAGGACCTAGATTCAACCCCAGGTCTTTCTGGTGGTGAAGTATACACCTTACCCCATTATGCTAAAAGGCTCAGGTAGTACCCCCTTGTAAAACTGCAAATAGCCCAATGGCAAGGGAAATACATTAAGTTTCCATCCGCTATTAACACCTTCATCTGAATTCAGTGATCTGGTCTTTCTCATTTCATATGGGGGGATATATACAACAGGCAAGTTCTGACAAAAAGAGAGATAGATCCAGAGAAGGAACCAGAAAAGAAAAAGCCCAGTAACCCCACTTCAGAGAGAGATTCTGGGCATCAGGAGCAACAAGGCCTGGGGCCTAGCTGGGGATATGCTCCCAGTCAGGAAAGGAGGACACTGAGAAAGAAGGGAAGTGGCCACATGCAAACCCAGCCTCTCATCACAGTTCAGCCTAGGACCAGCTTCCTGCAACACTTTCCTGAAAAAAGGGGAAACTTGAAAAGACAAAGGAAATGATAGAAATCATAGAAAAAATTCAATGCCCCCCCCCAAATGTATTCGGCACAACAATATTTCTATGGAATGTTAAATGACACTTTGTGAAAAAAAAGTTTTCATGTTAATTTTAAGAAATGCCTTAGCAAATGTGAACAGTTTTCTTGACTGTAAGGTTTCTCAGATCCGTTAACATGCTCAACTACAATGTGACTTCCCAAAAAAGAGATGGAGTATGCGTTATTCCCAGTAAGTTTTTGGAAACGTTGAGTGTAAGAAAAGTCAGAAATTAAGATGTCCAAATAAAAGAATATACTGTACCTTAAAAAAGTAACTGTGAGGTCCTATACCAGAGTTTAGGGTATACATAAAGAAACAGAATTGAGCTAGTCTAAAGCAATAAGGAAATGCAAGTTGAAGAAAAAAGGCAAAACAGTGTTTTACTATTCTAACAACTCTCAATTATTCACGGTAAGTAAAAAAAATACCTAGAAGTATAGCACCATTTTCAGAAAATGTTCCTAAGAAATATGCCAATCAGAAACACCCAAGAAAATACAGAAATCGAGAACCAATCACAGAATTTATTAAACTACCTACTGCCAACAGTTGATCAGCATTCTTTCCTGAATGTGGACACAAACAGCGGACTCAGCTCTTTCCAAATGCAGCACAGAACTACAGAGTAGACACGTGGAATGCAGAGAAGAGCATTATGTTCAAGCACAGCATGGGAGATGAGGCAGGGTGATGATGCAGGCTGGGCATGGGGAAAGGGGAGTGCTGAAGTGCAGCGAGCAACAAGAGGCCTAAAACTCTGGAAAACAACAGTGGCAAGTGAGTGTGACTCACGGGCTGGCATCAGATCTCCTCTCAGAGCCAGAACACTGGGCTTCTGTCAGGCAAAGAAAAGGAGTCCCCATGAATAGCAATCTCTGCAAACAGCAGTTACTGTCACTCCTTAAAAGACACAAGCATGGCTGGGGACCAGCACCAGTTGACAACACTTGGGTTTCTGCAGCCCAAGTTATACAAATGGAAGACCATGGTCAGAAAACTGGCCTCTAAAGACAGAAATTCTATGTCCAGATTAAGGGCTCTCCTGGGCCTGCCGTCCTCTGTGATGTCAGATCACCCTTGGAGTGCTGGGTCCAGTGCTCAGCACCACACTTTAAGGACATTGAACCAACATGAGGAAATCCTGAGGGGAGCAATCAGGATGGGAAGCTGAGGAATAGCTGAAGAAACCCTACTATTGGTCATTGGTATCACGCACAATCTTTCAATATTACAAATAAGCCTAAAATAAATATCCATGGGGCTAAATCTTTACATATACCCATTATTGTTTTCCATGATAAATTCTTAGAGGAATTACTGGTTCAAAGGAAACACACATTTTTAAGGCCTTTGCTACATCCTGTTAATACTGTCTTATAGAAAGGAAGTACCAATTTATAATTCTAACAAGATGCTAGATAAAAGGCCAGAAATATACCACCTAAAATTTTTTGCAAATTTACTAAGGAAAGTTTTAAATTTTAGGTGGTTCTAAAGTTCCTTTGTAACTCCAGGGTTTTTGTGAGTCCAAACATCATACTCTAGCATAAAAACACAATACATATATCTATGCACTTCTTAACAATTTTAGTAGCAAAGAGTGAATGAAGTTTTCCAAAAAATACTGAAGTCATACTGGTAAAACGTCAGCACTATTCCCATACTTCCATATGTATTCAAAGACTACAGTAATTTAAGAAGAGATATTCATATGCTTTTATTAAAGGTCTGTAGGATGCACATAATACTTACGTAAATATTAATTTGAACCCTATGAAATTGCTTTGTTTGTAAGTCAAAAACATATTGGCATATTTGGTTCAACCTTATATAATACTTCAGCTTAAACCTCATAATTTAGAGATATTACCCACTTGATGAGGGCAATCTGATGATTGTGTATGTAGGGGCTATGATCTAATCAGACAACAAGGAAAGAGTCCCTGTCAACCATTTCCATCCAAAATACTCAACATGGAGGTAGCCCTTGTACTATACTTTCTATTTATTTTGTGGACACTAATAAACAGTGTCTTCTAAACAATTTGTACATAAGGCACTACACTCCTACTTATGGTATAAATTTACTGATATGGGCGCAGATGGCGCTCAGACTGCTAGTACAAATAGTGAGTGTTCCTTGAGGTCAGGTACTTTGCTACAATGACCCAGGGAGAAACATATAAATGACCTTTCCCATTTCACAGAGGAGGAAACAAGCTCAGAGAGGTCTGGCTACAGATACACAATTTAAAACTGTGAATATAGGTTCTGAACCCACACTTTGACCACAAAGTCCTGGTATAACACTATGTCTCCGATATTATATTGGGTTATCTGAAAAGTCATGACGCATTTTGCAACGAAAAACAGAAAAAATATGTCATGACTTTTCCGACAACCCAATAGAATAACAATTACAGTTATTGTCATTATTATATAACTAGCATCAATTTAGTGCTTACTATATACCAGGTCCTATTAAATCCTCATAATGACCCTAATCAAAACCACAATTACTATCATCCCCATGTTGCAGATGAGGAAACTAAAACAGAGTGGTTAAGAAACTTGTCAAAAGCCACACAGCCAGAAAGTGGCAGAGGTGGGATCCAAATACAGACTCACGCTGAAGCTTCCATTTGTAACCACTACACTACACATATTCAACTTTGAAGTTACAGTGTAAGAGACAAGTAACAACACAAAGAGTGCCTAAATATATCTGTAATCTCATCCTTAATTTTTTTCCACAAATTTTTTTATTCTTAGATTGTCTTCATATTTTTCTAAGTTTATTTGTTTTAGGCAAAAAGTTAGAAGGGATTCTGTGGCAACACAAAACATCATAAAACTTTTTTATTATGCAATAGTAAAAACTGTAAAATAGTAGAGTAATGTGAGTATCAAGAATCATAATGAAATGGACAGACTTAATTCACTTCCTAATTCCTAGAACAAAGGTAAAACATTCAGGAAAAGCTTAAAAAGAGAATTACAAGTCCATTTTAATCATTCTGATTTTAAAGAGCGTAAAAATCATAGAGACAGAACATTCCAACCTTAGGACCAAACTAATCAGCTCTGCA